GACTCCTGCAGCCTCCCTCCCTGGAAGGAAGGGAGAAAGAAAGGCAATTTGGGACTATCAAAGAGAATGGCTTTCACTTTCAGGGAGCTGGCTGGGAAAGATTGCTTCCAGGTGGCCTCTCCCGGGGCTCCTTCCAGCTTGGCTGGGCAGTGCATGGGACTGGTGGTTGGTCAGTGGGCCTGGAAAGCTGGGGGAGCTACTCCCTGGCCCCAAAAGCCTTTCCCCAGAGTTTCTGAGGCTGCCTGCTTCCTGACCAGATCTCTGCTCACAGGTCCCTTCCCTTGGGGGCCTTCTCTCATTATCTGCACAGAGTCAGCACCGCTGCTGCTGCAGCTTCCTCTAGGACCACCCTTAGAATGGGACACTTCTAGAACCTGACTCACAGGGCCCTGCTCTGTCCCACCTCTGGCTACACCCAACTCATGCAATGAGAAGACCATGGGCTGAGGTGCTGTGCCCACCTGAAGAACACATCCTTTTTCTAGACCACACTCGGGGTCCTGAGGACTCTGGAATTCCCTGTCCAAACATTCTGAGCCTACTTCTAGGACTGGGGACCTCTTCCCCTGGCCTGTTCTCTAAGGACCAGCCATGCTGCTTGTGTGGCCCAAGGGTGGTCCAAGGGTGCTGTTTGGCATATGGTGAAGCTGGGGAGATAGATTGAGCTTTTATGGGGCTATTCATGTTCATGGGCAGCCCCTTAGAATGTGGGATGGAGCCATGGGGTGGAGAGAAGAAAGAATAGCCAGAGACTTTCATGGGCCTTTGATGGGCGCCACATACACCAGGAGTGTTCCCAGCTTTCTATCACATCATCCTGTTTTATTTCTTCCTAGTGATTTTTCACTCTGAAATGTGTTACTCCTTTTCTTTTTTATTACCCTTCCTTCTCCCAGTAGAAATACACCCTCAGCAGGAGCGGAGGCTTTGAGTTGCACACCTGTTTCTGAATTAGGGTCACTCTGTCTCCTTGGCAAGGGATGGGTAGTAGTCCATGAGAATGTCTGTTAGTCTGTTCTCACACTGCTATGAAGAATACCACATGAGACTGGGTAATTATAAAGGAAAAAGGTTCAATTGACTCACAGTTCCACAGGCTTAATAGGAAGCATGGCTAGGAGGCCTCAGGAAACTTACAGTCATGGCGGAAGGTGAAGGGAAAGCAGGCACCTTCATCACAAGGTGGCAGGAGGGAGTGTGTTAAAGAACAAGGAAGACTGTCCTCCCCGCCCTGTGCCTTGGCCTCCTGCTGGCTGCTTGCCACTCACCGCCCCTTCCAGCCTGGACTTTCCATTCCTCTACCAAGACCGTTCCTCCAGCAATGACCCCTAACTGGCATGTGAAGAAACAGCATTCAAGTTAGCCCTCTGCACTGAATGGGTCTTATTTATGCATTTAAAAAGTACATAATGTATTTTTACTCAGAGTCAGATGAACAGAATGGATAAGAAGAGGGAAATGGTGCAGAAGAGGATGAAGTAGTGAGAAAAATGAAATCAGCTCATATTTATGGAATCCTATGTACAAGGGTTGTAGTTGCTTTTCAACCCCATGAATCAGGTAATATTAATATTCCCATTTTACAGATAAGAAAGCTGAGGCACAAAGGGGTTGTGGAACGAGTAGGTGGAAGAGCCAGGATTTGCACTCACGAGAAGCAGGAGAGGCAAGGCCAGAGCACCCCTCCCTGTGGTGGGGTACAGAGAGGCCCTGGGGGAACTTTACTAAATGAATGGAAGAAATGAGCTTTGTCCCTGCCCTTGAGGGAAAGGTGACATTTTATCAGACTGACAGGACCCTCCAAGATGAAGCATTGTAACACAGAGAGGCATGCAGTTGAGGGAGCCAGTATGTACAGGGCCCAAGGTTCCCTGACTCCGCTGTGTCACTATGCCTGGTGTCAAGGGCTGGGATGGGTCTTTTGTCTCTGGTTTCCACATACCCCTAGCCCTATAATGTTCTGCCTAGCTTGATGCAGAATAGGTGCTCACTCAACATTTGCTGTCCTGTGATGGGGCTGGCACCCACCATGGGGACAGGATCTCCAGGATGGGGCCAGCACAGGGATCCACTGAGATCTCAGTGCTGTCTGGCAGACTGTCCTCCCTGCCCTGTGCCCTGGCCTCCTGCTGGCCTGCTTGCCACCCACTGCCCCTTCCAGCCTGGACCTTCCATTCCTCCACCAAGAGGTCCCAACAATGCATTCTCTCTTCTGCGCCAAGTGGGGTTGAGGGAATGTGAGGTGGGACTGATAATCCAGCTGAGAAAATTGGCTGGATTTCTCGGTAATGGGCACATTCCTGCCTTTCTTGTCTCATGTGTCCTCATCTCAGGTGCCAGCTTTCGGATGGCTTCTCCAGCCCTACCCTGGTCATCCAGGAGCTGGAAGCAGAGGTGAGGGAAGGGGCTCAGTGGGAAAAAAACAGAACAAAGGAAGAGCTGCAGGTCCCTCCTCTCTTCCACACTCACATCACCTAACTCATTCTGTTGAGCCATTGTTTTTTGCTAGATAGTTTTGGTTTTTAGTTGTGGTAAAATATACATAACATTTACCATTTTATACCATTTTAATTGTCCAGATCAGTAGTGTTAAGTATATTCCCATTGTTGTGAATCACATCTCCAGAACTTTTTCGTCTTGCAAATCTGAAACTCTGTGCCCATTAGACAACTCATTTCCCTTTCCCCCCAGCCCCTGGCAACCCCATTCTACTTTCCATCTCCAGGAATTTACTGCTCTAGGTGCCTTGCGTAAGTGGAATCATATAGTGATTGTCTTTTTGTGACTGGCTTATTTCATTTAGCATAATGTCCTTAAGGTTCGTTCATCCATGTCACAGCATGTATCAGAATGTCTTTTCTTTTCAAGGCTGAATAGTACTCTATTGTACGGATAGACCACATTTTGCTTATCCACTCACCTGTCAATGAACACATGGGTTGCTTCTACCTGCTGGCTATTGTGAATAATGCTGCTAGAACTTGGCTTCTTAGAGCATCAAGACTGCTATTCATTTAGAACCAGGGGATCTACGTACTTTTCTAAGAGCATTATCGTCTCCATTTCACAATAGAAGAGAAAGGGCTCCAAAGGTTTATGTCTCTGCCCCAGATCCCACAGCCAGTAAGTGTCAGGACCTGGCTTTGGATTTATATCTGCACCAAACCTCACATTTAGCCCCTGCTTTCTAATCCCTCCTTCCCTGAGGGTGTTTGTTTTTATCTCTTATTCTGCTAGGAGCTGTACCAGGTGCCTGTGCCCCTTCTGAGGCTAGGAACCAGAACTTACATAGGATCATACAGCATAGTGGCTAAGGATCAAAGACTCTGAATCCAGACTGCCCAAGTTCGAAGTTGGCTCCTTGAGTTTATCAGCTGTGTGACATTTGCCAAATGATTTAACCTCTCTGTGCCATGATGGATTAGTGATGTCTGCTATGGGCTCAGGCTAGGGGACATATGCCTCCTATCTGCCTCTCTGGACAAAACGCAAAGTTTGCTTTGCCACCGCACTCCAGCCCGAGCGACAGAGCGAGACTCTGTCTCAAAAAACAAAAAAACAAAAAACAAAAAACGAAACCCTGCCCCACACCCAGGCTCCTTCCAGATTCTTGGTCTTGGAAGTAACGATGTTTCCTACAGAACTGCAAGAGCAGAGAGGCCACCTCTGAAGATTGGGTTTGTGGCATGACTTGCCCTGGGGGGATTTGGTTTTCATAAGAGTGGGAGAGCCTTTCCTGGCTGATAGTCTGTTTTCCAGGAGGCAGCAGGGTTGAGTCCCCTGCCCTGTTGGCCATCAGGCCCCAGGTGGAGGAGATTAGAGCATATGAGGGCCTCCTCCCCCAGCTGTCCTCCCACACCCTGTGTCTTCCTGTCCCTTGAGCTGTTGTTTATTGTCCAGAACCTGGCCACACTCATTTTCTTTTTCTTTCTTTCTTTATTTCTTTCTTTCTTTCTTTCTTTCTTTCTTTTCTTTTTCTCTTTCTTTCTTTCATTCTTTCTTTTCTTTTTCTCTTTCTTTCTTTCCTTTCTTCCTTTCTTCCTTTCTTCCTTTCCTTCCTTCCTTCCTTCCTTTCTTTCCTTTCTTCCTTTCCTTTCTTCCTTTCCTTTCCTTCCTTCCTTCCTTCCTTCCTTCCTTCCTTCCTTCCTTCCTTCCTTTCTTTCTTTCTTTCTTTCTTTCTTTCTTTCTTTCTTTCTTTCTTTCTTTCTTTCTTTCTTTCTTTCTCTCTCTCTCTCTCTCTTTCTTTCTTTCTTTCTTTCTTTCTTTCATTCTCTCTCTCTCTCTCTTTCTTTCTTTCTTTCTCTCTCTCTCTCTTTCTCCTTCCTTCCTTCCTTCCTTCTTGCTTGCTCACAAGAGCCTCACTCTGCTGTCCAAGCTGGAGTGCCGTGGCACAATCTCGGTTCACTGCACCCTTGACTTCTCAGGCTTAGACCCAGCCTCCCAAGTAGCTGGGACCACAGGTGGGTGTCACCATGCCTGGCTAATTTTTTGTATTTTTTTGTAGAGACGGGGTTTCGCCATGTTGCCCATACTGGTCCTGAACTCCTGGCCTCAAGCAATCTGCCCATCTCAGCTTCCCAAAATGCTGGGATTACAGGCTTGAGCCCGGCCCTGGCCACATTTCGAATGTATTTACAAGGTGCCTACTGGCTCCTTCTTCCGCAGGGTTTCTAAGGCCTGTAGTTCTCCCTGCCTCTCCTCCTGACCCCCGCATCTTGTTAAAGCAAGTCTTCATCCAAGATCCTGGGAGGGGCCGCCTAGGCGTTCTGCTTGCTCTCGCCCTGAACAAAACTTCTGCTGAACCCAGGGCATTGGTGTGGACAGGGGAGATGGGTTTACTGGCTGCAGGGCAGTGGGGTTGGGTGTGGCATGGGGCAAATGTGGGAGGATGACATCAGCACCACTTGGGGTGACAGGAAGAAAGCAGTGCATGTCACAAAGGGTGATGGTGTGGGTGTGGGCTGTAGACAGGTGACTTCAGGGAATGTGGCTGCTGAAGGTGTGAGGAGGTGGGACTGGAGCAGTTGTGTGTGTGTGGTGGGGGGCAATAGTGTGAGTGTCCTCATAAATGTCACCATGAGTGACTGACAGAGTAGGCGGGTGGTAATTCCAGTGGGTGACTATCTCGGCAGCACTGCGATGGGTGGGGAGCCAGAATGCGTGAGAGGATGCCGGTGGCAGGCGCCAAGACACTTCTGAGCTTGCCTCCTGGGGACGTCCTTCACGCCGGAAAGAAAGAACGAATGTGTTTTCTCTGCCTGTTGAAAATGATTCCGAGCGAAGGGCCGCGCCTCCTGGCCGGCGCAAGCCTGACTCCGCTGTGTCAGAAGATGATCTTTCACAGATGCTGAAAAGTTAGGAAGTGTAATTACGGGGAAATTGCGCTCAGGCAAACGAGTACAAGCCAAGGGCTGCCAGGCCCCATTCCTCACCTGAACGCCCTGATTGTGGCCGACAGCCCCACATCTGTATGTGCTTTGCAGCCAGAAGAGGAAAGAGAGGGGAAGCAGGAACGGGGTGGGGAGGGGAGGGATAGGGAGGGGACCTGGAGCCACCCCTGCCAACGGCTCCCTGGCTTCCTCAGGGAGGAGCTGAGGGAAGGCCGAGGCCTGGGACACATTCCTGGGTTCCGAGGGCCTTCTGGGGTGCCCTCATTCCGGGGGGCGCTGGGGAGGAGGAGCTGGGGAAGAGAAGTAGAGCTGACGCCACTTCTATTCTATCCTCTTCACTTTACTGGTGGGGAAACTGAGGCTGCAGATGGCCAAGGAGCACACAGTGAGTTAACAGTGCAGGCAGGATAAGATCCTCCACCTTCTGAACAGCAGGAGCTCTTGCCAGAGCCCCTGAGGGGCAGGGTGGGAGGGGCAAATAAGGAGCAGACCCGGGGAGCAGCAGGGTGCCCCTGCCTCCCAGTCGGCATCTGGTACCAGCCTTTGGGGTAGCTCTGCCCACTGGGCAGCCTTGGCATTCCTTAAATTCCTGGCTCTCATCCTCCCACCAGGGCTCCTGCCCCATGGCCCCTCTCTGCTGGAGCAACTGGGACTCCTCTCAGCAGACGGACCTGCAGCTCCTCCTTTGCTCTGTTTCTTCCCACTGGGCCCCTCCCCTCGCCTCGCCTCTCCTTTCAGCTCCTGGGATAGCCCAGAGTTTGGAGCCTCCCGCTCTTGTTCAAACCCTCCTGGGCCAACTCAAGGGCACCCTGATGCCCTCTGCTCCCCACAGGATGGGCACTCCCTCCCTCCCACTCCTTGGCCCTCTCCTGGTCTATGGAAACAATTCTTCCCATTGGGCATAAGTTTGCTCCCCATCTCCATGCTTCTGGTAACAAGCTGCCCTGCCCCTGAGCCTCAGAGGAGGTACAGGCAGGCCCAGGCTGGATAATTATCCCAACATCCTCCTGGCCCCAGAAATTGGGTCAGGGAAGAACATGTGACTCCACAGGGCCAATCAGAGTTCTTCTCTGAGAAGGACACTGGGAGCAGGAAGCTGGCTTCAGTCCCTCTGCAGCTGATAGATTGGGAAGCTGGAAGTTGGAATCCAGACTTTTCTTTATCCTGTAAAGTAGCCCACCTGCAGGAGGTAAGAGTGAGGCATGCAGAGAGTTAGAGGTGGGGGCAGGGCATGAAGAAATGATTGATTGTTAGCATTTTTGAACTCTGGATTTAGTCCTGTCTTCATCCCCATACCTCCCAGTTGTATTAGCTAATTTTTATTTTATTCCATTCTTATTCTATTCTATTCTATTCTATTCTATTCTATTCTATTCTATTCTATACTATTCTATTCTATTCTATACTCAGTGCATTCAACCGGGTTTCCATCAGTTGCAATCAAGAGACCTGATGAATGCAGCTGTCACAGAGCTGGAGCTTGGGTGTCCTGGGAAGTGTTGATGGGTAAGTTGGCAGGACCGAGGTAGGACCAGTGCCAGAGAGGTTGATGGTCCTCTCTTGACTGGGTGGGGCTTGGTAAAGGACAGTCTGGCATGGTAGAAATTTGCCAAGGAATAACTATGCACAAAAGAATTAAACAATAAAACCCCAACACAGAAGCAAATGTACAGCTTTTAGTTCCAGCTGCAGCCATTGAAGGAATGCATGTCCAGAGGAGGGAAAAGCACACACATCCCCAGGGGGAAAGGCCATCTGAGGGAAGGCGGGGTTCCAGGCAATACTCAACCTAGAGGACACACCTGGGGATGAGGCATAGGAGAGAAACTGGAGCAGGAGAAGCAGGGCAAAACGGGCGTGGAGTGTGGGCTCCACTGTCACCAAGAGTCACTGAGGGGGAAGCATCAGTGCACAGCCTGGTGATACCACTAGTAATTGACATTTAGTAGCCCAAAACTCAGTGGCCCATTTTATTTTACTGCAGGTCCAAGTATCGTGCCCTTTTGATACACCTGGCTTTTCCAAGAAGTTTTCTGTCTGGAATGCTGGCTGGGAAAGGGCAGGGAAACCCTTGTACAGCCAGCTCAAGCTGAGTGCCTGGAAGTGACGTAAATGTTGGTGGTTTTGTCTAGTTTGGTGTCTTGCCTTAGCCACACCTGAAGTCATTCTTGTAACTCAACGACTTTGCTTCAGACACAGCCAATGAAGAGGGGAAAGGAGAGTGTTTGCAAAGCACCTAGAATGTTCCAGGCAAAGTTACATACCTTTCCTTCTTTTCATTGACCTTACATCTGTGATCTCATTTAATCCTACAATGACCCCATGGGGGATATGTTATAATTCCTACTTGATAGGTGAGAAAACTGAGGCTCAGGAAGATTAAGTAACTTGCTTAAGGTCTCTGAGCTAGAATGGGGCAGAGTGGGAACTCCAACCCAAATGTGTGTGTTTGTAAACTCTGACCTTTCTCCAGCGCCTTGCTTCCTCTGGAGAACTAAACCCTCCCTTGGAAGGACATGATGGAAACTCAACAGCCAACTTGACAGTCAGGAACTGCATAGTCTCCTGTGAATGATTTATGATTACATCAGTGATGAGACTCTGGGTAAGCCCTAATCCCCACTCACTAGGGTGCAATGTCCTTGGCAGGTCCTGGCTCCATCTTTTAGTAAACATTGTTCCAGAGAGCTAGAGCCCACACCTAACAAGAAATGGCCAACTTCAGCCTCTCAGAATCCAGGCTCTCCAGGGGAAGGAGGGGCTGCCCCAGCACCCGCCCTCCATCTGTGGTGTCTCCCTCACATGGGCTGCTTCGGGCTTCCTCCTGCCGGGTTCTGGCTGGGCAGTGATAATGATGGCGTTGCGCTCCACTCAGGCCTCCTCTGGAGTGCTTGCAGTGACTCCCTTCCCTGCACAGAAATGTCAGGCTGTGCCTGCTGCAAGGCTTGCCCTTCTACCCTCTTCTGTCTGTAGAAATCCTATTCCTCTCCAAGGCATAGGGCCAGTCCCATCTCCCTCACAAAGCCCCTCCTTATGCCTTAACCAGATGTGATTTTTTTTTTAAACCCCTTTCCCCAGAATCACATCTTGTGATTGACTTGAAGGTTAGCTCCAATACCAGCTCCTATGAACACATCCACCCTCCAAGAAGACTTCACCTCTCTCTCTCCAGGCCTGCGATATGCAGTTCCTAGAATGTGACTAGGATGAGCTGTGAAAGTGTCAGTTTTTTCTACCAGGGCACCAGGACTCAGGACACCTTGACTTTGCCTAATCAGTGAGTTCCCAGGACTGAGATGACACTCAACCCGTGTTTTCCAGAATAATTAGGTTGACGCCTTGTCTGTGTCTCTTCTCTGAATTTATCTAACATGCCTGGGATTAGAGTCGTGGAAGTAGTTCCAGGAATATGACCAAGCCCAGGGCTCCTTGTACCCCTCTGCCCCAGGCACCAGGGACTTCCATGTCCCCTCCACCAAGCAGTTCAACCTTGGGTAAATAACCTCTCTTCTCTGAGCCTTAATTTCCTCCACAATAAGATGAATAAGTTGGTCAAAATCATCTCTAAAATCTCTCTTAGCCTAAAAATCCTCCCAGCAGGTTCTCACAAAAGCAAACCAATTAATAATGGTGAACAAATTTTTGAATAGTGGAAACCAAAGCACAGAAACAGACAATTCAAGCAGAAAGGATCGACTGGGTTGACAAGGATGTTGACAACGATGACAATATTTATCATGATCATTTATTGCATTGCCATGTTAGGCACTTTGTATATACTTTCTTGGATCTTCCCAATAAACCTTTAAGGGGAGAGTAAAACCCATTTTATAGATGAGGAAACTGAGGTTCAGAGAGCTGATATGATTTTTCTCATTGTCCTACCAGAAAATGGCTAAGAACCTGGAGCTGGACCCCCTGGGTCCCCTCCGGTACTCTTCTGGAACATTCCAGGCAGGCCCAAGTGGCCAGAGCAGGCCCCGCCTGCCTCCCCCCTGCCCTCTGCGGCTGTTTTGCATCCTGCCAGATTCCTGAGGTGTCAGGCCTCATTACAGCCCCGTGCCCCAGTGAGCGTGGAGAGGCAGTTGACAGGTATACAATCTGACCGCGGCTCCCTTCAAATCATCAAGTTGTCTTCAGGCAGGAACATGCCGGGAAGCCAGGCAGAGGCCCCTGGCTTGGCTGCATAATCTGATGCACATTAAAAACATCTTTCGGATGCCTTTTCTTGTTGCACGCTCATTCTCACTGTTTTGTTTTGATTTTTGTCCTCCATCCAACAAAAGCTGATGAATAGTCAACTCTCTAGGCTGTCTGGTCCAAGCAGGGTCTCACCAACCGGACAGGTATTCAGGGACTACTGACCTTCTCCGTGTTTGCCTGGCATCTGGGTGACAGTGCCTGTGGCACAGGGCCACATCCTAGCAAGGCTGGACAAGAACCCATACTCTGCCTCCCTGTCCAATTCCAGGGTGTGAGTTCAATTTTACCACGACACTCAACGGAGAGCCTGGACTAATAATAATCATTGCTGGCATCAAGTGAATGCTTGATTTGGGGGCTGAACCCCTTTTTATGTTTGGGGAATTCTCCATCCCAGGATGAGAGTAGGGAGAGAAGAGTCAGCTTTCCACCAAGAAGCGAAGAAAGCCAGATCCTTGCTCTCCTGGGGCCTTTGCAACCAGGAAGTGGACATGTGACCAGAGCCAGCTAATCCGACGCTCCTGTCCAAAACTGGACTCCGGCCAGAAGCCATGGAAAGTTCTGCTCCACAGCTACAAGTATCCTAGAGTGGCCAGGCCACAAATGGTAGCAACAGGAGTGGGGTGCCTTGGGCTGCAGGTGGCAAACAGGAAGCCTCATCTGCGGGTTCCATAGCATGGCTTGGATTGTGGTTTTGGCCGCCGACTTCTCTCTTGTTCTGGCTTTGTCTGACCCTGGATTACCAGCCTTCCTAGAGACGATGAGCTGTTACCTTTCTGCTTAAAGCAGTCAAAGGCCACTTTCGTTGTTAATAACTAAGACCTCTGGCTAGAACCCCTGTGATCGCTTGTTTAATTCTCATATCAATCCTTCAGGTAGCTATTAGCCTCATGTTACAGACGAGGAAATTGAAGCACAGAGGGATTAAGTAATAGGAAGTCACACAGTAAAAAATGGCAGGGCCATGGATTCAAACCCAAGTCCGTGGACTTCAGAGCCTGGGCTCTTAACTACTTCAAGAAAGAGCTTTGACTGGACGTGGCAGCTCATGCCTATAATCCCAGCTACTCAGAAGGCTGGGGCAGGAGGATCACTTGAGCCTACAAGTTCCAGACTGCAGTGAGCTGTGATGTAGCCACTGCACTCCAGCCTGAGGGAAAGAGCAAGACCTGTCTCAAAAAAAAAAAAGTTTACAGAAGACTAGATAATGGCCCTCCAAAGATGCTCATGTTCTAATTCCCAGAATCTGTGAATATGTTACCTTATATGGCAAAGGGGAATTTACAGATGTGATTAAGTTAAGAATGTTATGATAGGGGGATTATCCTGGATTACCTGGGTGGATCCATTGTAATCACAAGGGTCCTTATAAAAGAGAAGGAAGATGTAAGGATAGAAGCAGAAGTCAGAGAGGAGAGGAGATGCTACGCTGCTGTTTTGAGTGTAAAAGAAGGAGGCCCCCAGCTAAGGAATGCAGGTGGCCTCAGAAGCTGGCAGAGGCAAGGAAGTGAGCATCCAGAAGAAACCAGCCCCATCAACACCTTGACTTTAGTCCATGAGACTGATTTTGGACAACTGACCTCTAGAACTGCCACATAAGACATTTTTGTTGTTTTAAGCTACTACATCAGTTATAGGAAACTATACAGGGCCAGGAAAATCTTTCCATCGTTTGCAATTCTTGTTGAAGGTAGGCTATCTAGAGAAGGGAATCTTGTGAGGAGCCCAGCACGGTACCCCTAGGGCCTGGCACAGTGCCGGGCTCAGGGCTGCTCTTCTCTGTATCTGTATTGAGTGAAAGGATGAATGAGCACAGGATCCCTGATCTCCTGCCCTGGTTGGCCAGCCAGGAAAGATGAAGCCAGCAATGCAGTCATAGCCATGGCTTTGGTCCCAAGCCCAAGAGAAGATCCGGGAATCCCGAGTGGGTCAGCCACATAGAGGTTTGGGCAGACCTAAGCCCAAAGCTGACCTTGTCACCCCCATTACCCTTTCCCACCATACCTGTGGCCTCTGTCACTTACAACTTCATGGTGAGGAAAGGCCAAGACAGAATCAGTGAGCCAAAGAGAGAGCTCTCCTCTCTGCTCAGGAATGAGCACAGAGGTTGGAGGGCCAGGGCTCAGCCCCAGTCTAGACGGCCATGCTGTGTTTCCTGCTTGAGTTCGCTTGTGGACTAACCCTCACGCAAGCCCTCCAGGTAGGAGGCTAGACCCTCTGGAGGTGGCCTTGAATTCATGATTTTTTTTTTTTTTCTTTGAGACAGAGTTTCGCTCTTGTTGCCCAGGCTAGAGTACAATGGCACAGTCTTTGCTCTCTGCAACCTCCACCTCCTGAGTTCAAGCGATTCTTCTGCCTCAACCTCTCGTGTGGCTGGGATTACAGGCACCCACCACCGCACCCAGCTAATTTTTATAGTTTTAGTAGAGATGGGGTTTCACCATGTTGGCCAGGCTGGTCTCAAACTCTTGACCTCAGGTGATTCACCCGCCTTGGCCTCCCACAAGTGCTGGGATTACAGGCTTGAGCCACTGTGCCTGGCCCAGATTTTACAATGTTTGCCTTTCTGTGGGACATGCCTAGAGGGAGCTTGCCTGAGAACAGCTAACATGATACACATCTACCCCCATCCCATTGCCTTTGTCTTATTTCTGGGGAAGTGGCATGTTCTTCAGGAAAGCTAGGCACAGTATATGCAAACGCGGTATTATCTTTGCAACTTTTCTATAAATCTAAATTTATTCCAAATAAAAGCTGATTAAAAAAAAAAAGAATCATACTAGCTTAGGCATCACTCAAGTGGAAACCAACGCAGCGGGCTGGGGTAGCTGTCCCTGCCACTCACACTGGTGGCACCTATTCTTTTCCTCGCTGTGATTTAGACCATCCCAAGCTGCGATGATCCTTCCCACTAAACCAGAAGTTCCTGAGGGCAGGGGCTGTGTCTCGTCACATTCTCTGCACCTGTTACAGAGCATTTACCAGTCACCCTTCTAAACACTTCACAATCCTTTCATCCTCACAACACCGCTGGGAAGAAGTTGCTATTGCTGTCCCCATGTCACAGAAGAGCAAACCGAGGCTCAGAGAGGTCACAAAGCAGGCAAGTGACAGGATTGGGACCAGAAGGACCGGCTCAGCAGCCTGTCTGCATGTCTTAAACCCTCCGCCAGGGCAAGCCATACAGCTGGGGGCCGAGCAGACTTGGCATGGGGTTAGCATCCCAGCTCTGCCCCTCACCAGCGAGGTGGCCCTGGACAAGTTCCTCAGCTGCTGTGAGCTCAGTTCCCTCATCTGTGAAATGCAGAGAACAGTAACTACTTAATATGGAGTAGATGAGATGCAACGTATAACCTGCTTAACGCAGAGCGCGACACGTCCTAACCATGAGAAGATGGTCAACGGTGGCCATGAAGATGACATGCAAGTATGATGATGGTGATGTAATGCTGAGTGAGTGGGCAGTGCAGGAGGAAAAGGAACTGTTAGCAGTTTCTGGAGAAGTCCAGGTGTGATGAACTGGGGGCTGGTGGAAGAGCAGAGGGCAGCAGGAGGTAGAAAACCATGTCTGCAGGAGGCCAGAGAGAAGAGAGGGAGGAGCCCACCGGCATGCCAACATGGCCAGCAGAAAGTGATGATGAGAAAGCAGCCCTGCCCCCAGGTCTGAGGCAGACTCTTCAGACTTGGAGAAAGCACAAGTTTCTACCACCACCTCCTGTACTGCTCCAAACTTTGGAAAAATCAGCAAATGAGGCAAGGTCCTGGGCAGCCCTGCTTCTCCCAGGGTAGAAAGGGCTTGGTCTGTTGTTTGTTCCACAGTTAGAAGTAGAGTCTTGTCCCCGCCCAAGCAGAACGCTTTTGTTTGGCAGGAGAAGGAAGAGCTGGGCAATGCCAGAGAGGAGCCCCCCCAACGCCACATGCTCTGAGTTCCCCAGCATGCCTACCAGAGCCCAGGTGGGCGTGGAGGCTGTAGGAGCCCTCACCACCCACCAAGCGGAGCTCCAGAGGCCTGGCACCACTGAGAGAGGCGGCGGCTGTCAGCACTGAGCAGAAAGGCATTCCGAAGCGCAAGAATAGCCCGACCACAAGACAGGAAGGCAGTCTCTGAAACATTGTTCTTCCCTGGAACAGAACAGACCACATGTTGGGAGGCCCTGGGGTTTCCTGGAACTGCTGAGAACAGAGGCGCTTTTCCAGGTAGACTGATTTCCCCTGTGGAGTCTCAAAGCCCTGTACCCGGAGTGGGCACCTTCACCAAGGGGGTGACATCCTGTGCCTGTTCATTTTATGTTAAAGACACTCTCCCACCTGTGTGTGGTGGCAAGAAAGTGCCATTCACATGACCACCTGTCAGAAGATGGTCCATGCTTTTATTGTTTGTGTGAGACCCTAGGCCACAAGTAAGTGTTGACAGAACTTGGATCCCACTGTGAGTCACAGAAAACACATAGAGACTTCAGACTCACCCCCGGTCACACAACTTTGTGCGTTCAGTTGATTGCTTATTAGACATCAATCGAGTGCCTTTGTGTAAGGTCTCATTCTAGGAATAGGGGTGGGATGGCAAACAGGATGAGGCCCTGGCTCTTGCATGTTATTCAGTTGTCCTAGTTTACGTCTAGATGGGAGAAAAGAGACAAGGAACAAGGAAACCAAGAAAGACAGCAGATACTTTCAGACGGCAATCAGTAACACCAGGAAAATGAGCAGGGTTATGGGATGGTAGCTGCTTCCATCAGGTGTCAGGGAGTCCTCTGGGAGGAGGTGGCATCTGCATGAATTCTCTGGAGCTGAGGAGCAGCCAGTCATGCGAAGACTTGGACAAAGGGTATTGGGAGCCCAGAAAACATTCAATGGCAAAGGCCCCAAGGAGGAGCAAGTGAGGAAGGGCAGGGTGGCCAGAGTGGAGTGTGGACAGGGAGGGTGGCACCAGATGAAGGTGGGGTAGACCCAGTGGCTGGGCTGTGTAGACGCAGAGCCTTGGAAGCCAGAGGGGAATTCTGGACTTGATTCTAAGTAGTGTCAGAAGCTACTAAAGAGTTGTAAACAGAGGCATGGCATGATCTGCCTTTTGTTTTCAAAAGTCTGTTGGCAGTGGGAGGACAGTGGGTTGCAGGGGACAGTGGGAGGAAGCAGGAGTCCCCATAAGTCTGTTCAGTTCCAGCCAGAGAGGATGAGGACTCTGGCTAGGGAGGGAGAGCAGGATAGTCAGGGTGTGCTCTAGGAGGTATGCTGATGGGAGCTGCTGATGGCACCAATGGAAGAGGGGGATTCAGAATTAGGGTTTGAGCAACTGGATGGGTGATGATGTGCATTTGCTGCTGTGGGGAAGAGCAGGTTTGTGGGGTGGAGGTGGGGGTCAAGCTAGCACCACATTCATCGGGAAGCTGAGCAACAAGGTGTTGAACAAAATTCAACTTGTGCAGAGACAACCTGTAGAATGGGAGAAAGTATTTGCAAACTATTCATCAGACTAGGGACCAATATTCAGAATATATGAGGAATTCAACCCCCCACAAATAATCCAATTCAGAGGGTGCAAGCCCCAAGCCTTGGCAGCTTCCACATGGTGTTGAGCCTGCAAGAACACAGAAGTCAAGAATTGAGGTTTGGAAATCTCCACCTAGATTTCAGAGGATGTATGGAAATGTCTGGATGTCCAGGCAGAAGTTTGCTGCAAGGGCAAGGCTGTCATGCAGAACCTCTGCTAGAGCAATGTGGAAGGGAAATATGCGGTTGGAGCCCCCACACAGAGTCCCTGCTGGGGCATAATCTAGTGGAGCTCTGAGAAGAGGACCACCATCTTCCAGACCCCAGAATGGTAGATCCACCGACAGCTTGCACTATGTCTGGAAAAACCACAGACACTCAATGCCAGCCCGTGAAAGCAGCTGGGAGGGAGGCTGTACCCTGCAAAGCCACAAGGGTGGAGCTGTCCAAGACCATGCAGACTCACCTCTTGCTTCAGCGTGACCTGGATGTGAGACATGGAGTCAAAGGAGATCATTTTAGAGCTTTAAGATTTGATTGCC